CGTTGTTGCAGCTCAGCCTGCCTCCATGCTGAGCATTAAGTCCTGCCTGGAAGCCTTTTAGTTTGGTTGGGGGTCACTCTTCCAGTCCCAGTCCTGCAACCATCACTGATGCCCCTGAAGCGCATCCCTGACTCTGCATAGCTTTACCCAGATGTTCCTCACATGGGAGGAGGCGTAATAAAGAAACGGCTGAACTATGAAAAGAAAGGGTTATAGAAACCATCCACCCCAGGGTGTGAAGGATTAAAACATCGCAATGACAAAATTTAATGGTTTATTTTCCATTCATAGAGTTTTAGACCAGAGGACCCCAAAGAGTTCAGCCTGTGACTCCAAAATGCATTTTAGCAAAGATTATTTCTATGCTTTATTTCAGTGGTGAGATATTTCCAACCGCTCTATAAAAAACTCTTTACAGTGGCTTAGTTAGAGAGTAAAAGTCAAAACTTAAAGTAAGATGATTTTACTATGAAATACAAAAGAAATTATAAATCTATCTATCTATCTATCTATCTATCTATCTATCTATCTATCTATCTATCTATCTATCTATCTATCTATCTATCTATCTAGATATATAATATTTTATTTTAAGTAGAAAATAAATAAAAAAAACGCTGAATGTTGGAAAAACTTTAAATCATATCTCAGTCCTATGTTTACTACGGAAGAGGATTAGGGCCACTGAAAAAAAAAAAAGTAAACGGATTTTTAAATTTTATTTCAGTTTAACATGGGAACAAAGTCAGAATTCTGACTTTAATCTCAGAATTCTGACTTTTTTCCCATACTATATCCATCCATCCATCCATCCATCTTCCTCCGCTTATCCTGGGTCGGGTCGCGGGGGCAGCAGCTTAAGAAGGGAGGCCCAGACTTCCCTCTCCGCAGCCACTTCTTCCAGCTCTTCAGGAGGAACCCCAAGGCGTTCCCAGGCCAGCCGAGAAACATAGTCTCTCCAGCGTGTCCTGGGTCTTCCCCTGGGCCTCCCCCCGGTGGGACGTGCCCGGAACACCTCACCAGGGAGGCGTCCAGGAGGCATCCTAAACAGATGCCCAAGCCACCTCAACTGGCTCCTCTCGACGTGGAGGAGCAGCGGCTCTACTCCGAGTCCCTCCCGGATGACCGAGCTTCTCACCCTATCCCTAAGGGAGAGCCCAGCCACCCTACGGAGGAAACCCATTTCGGCCGCTTGTATCTGCGATCTCGTTCTTTCGGTCATGACCCAGAGTTCATGACCATAGATGAGGGTAGGAACGTAGATCGACCGGTAAATCGAGAGCTTCGCTTTTTGACTCAGCTCTCTCTTCACCACGACGGACCGGTACAGCGCCCGCTTCACGGCAGATGCTGCGCCAATCCGCCTATCGATCTCCCGCTCCCTTCTTCCTTCATTCGTGAACAAGATCCCAAGATACTTAAACTCCTCCACTTGGGGCAGGACACCCCCCCTGACCTGGAGAAGGCACTCTACCCTTTTCCAGCTCAAGACCATGGCCTCGGATTTGGAGGCACTCCCATACTATACTGAAATAAAATAAAAAAAAACAGTTAACTTTTTTTTTTTTCCAGTGGCCCTAATCCTCTTCCGTAGTTTACATTTGATCACTGCTGCACTTTGAAAAAATGTAGATGTCTTGAGAGCTTTACTGTTCAAAATTTCGTTTTATATACATGCTGTGTACAAAATGACAATAACGTTTGTCTAAGTCTAAAATTATTGATATAAGAAAATTAAAATGATTAGGAAAACAGTTTGACGGACGAAGTAAACGTTTGTTCCATTATTGTTGGAAGCAAACAGCCTGTTTTGTAAAGGGAAATTTGAAAAAAAAAAAAAAAAATTACAATCAAAATTTCTAAACAAAATAAAAAGGCTTTTAGAGTAACTGTGCTGATTTTAAAATGTGCTTTACTGCTGGGGGCTGGGTTTCCCTCTGGAGCGAAGACGCATTTTATTGGTCAGCCTGGATGTTGCCAAACATTTTTCATTGGTCAGGAGCGAATGGTTCTACTGGGCTAGAAGGGAGAAGAATGTGATCTTTAAAACACAATTTGAAAATTAATGATATTCATAAAAATTAAAAAAAAAAATTAAAAAAGCACTGTAAAATATAGAATATGAAGAAAACATAAATACAAACATAAAAAGATAAAAATTTTGATATATAAGAAAATTACAAAATATTTTCAAGAAAAACACATTGAACATATAAAATATGAAAAAAAAGTAAAATCAAACCTTTTATAAATGAGAAGATTTTCAATATTTTCAATACTTCATTTACAAAACCTGGTTTTGTAAAACTAATGGTACAAAATTCACTCCATAGATCTACATACGTACACTAATAATGTTGAGATAACTGAGTCAAAGGCCATTCAGAAATTTTTTTTTAATGTTGACTAAAAGCCACTGAGGGTTTCTGAACTTTTATAGTTTTTATGGGAGTTAATTCCAGTTTAGCTGGGTTGAAAGTGGAGAACTGGGTTGATGTTCTCCACTTTCTTAGCTCTAGTGAGGACGCAGGCAGCTGCAGCTCTGATCCACTTTTAGACAGACATGTGAAGACACTGCTGCAGGGATCAATTGTTAGACTAATGCTAAGACATTAGTTCTTTAATCCAGACCTCCCATTTAGTTCTGTCTTATTAGATCACTTTAAATACTAGTGAATATCGGGCCCCAATCCAGCTCTAAAATGGTGGTATCGGTATCAGCGAGTACCAACCAATAGGGCACTGATACCATTTTTAGAGGCAAAAGTTTCTTCAACTATTGTCGCCCATTCCAGGTAGGCAATAAAAAGTTCTACTGGATTCACTTTGTTTTAGTCTTTTTCCTGCTTCACAAAGGAAGGCAGCAGCTTGACATGAAGCCATGATGGCGATTATTCTACATCCTAGGAGTCTGCAGTTCTTCATAGATACACACATCAATTTCAAACAGATGGTATCGGCCAATACTGCACAGCCTGATATCGGTATCGGGGCCAAAAATGACATCGGTGCAACACCAGTGAATATACTACATTAGATATTATGATGAGTTACTCAGCATTTTAGTAGCCCATTTACCAAATACTCTATTTTTTAAACTCTTATTTGAATAAAAATATGGTGAAGTAGTGCTTCTTTTACCCGAGTTAAATCTTTGGGTATTCTACCCGCCTCTGCCTCTCTGCTGCTGTTGGATGTTAATGAATGAACTCTGACGGATCATGCATCAGTTAGACTTTAATCCAATCCAAGAGTCTTAGTAAATGAAAAGTCCAAAAGAGTAGTTTAACACTACTCTACGCCAGAAGTATGGTAACAGAAAAAAAGACGAAAGAAAAAGTCTGAAAGGATTCATGGTTAAAAAACTACAAGGTTTAGTTTCGGGGCAATTGGGGACCAAGCTCTCACCGTAGCATCCAGTCAATATTGAGAAGCCCAGAACCAGTTGTTTGATGAGATGGACGGCACATTAAATAATTTAACTATGGAAGAAAAACTGTTTCATTGGAATCTGCCTTTTTTTTGTACGGCAAATTTTAAACACTGAAGTTCTTTACACGTTGAATTCCTTTCACAGAATTTTTACCTGGTAAAAATTTGCCTAGAAAATGTGTCGACGTTTTGGTGAACTCAAGCCAAAGCAATCTACACTCGATGCAGTCGAGCTGCCAATGAAATTAGCTCATTTGATCATGTGACACAACAGTTGTGCCTGGCTTTATTCATGACTAAATGAAGCTGATGAGAAGTTTTTCTTGTTAAAGCTGAAGTCTGTAAGTTTTGAAAAATCACTTTTTTGAAAAAGTGATTTTTAAAAATCACAAACTTCGGTATAACCAGCATCTTATATCTAGCTGCTTGGAGGTGAGTGTCATCGCTCTTACCGGTTCACACTCCATGCCGCGTACGCTGCTTGGACGCTACTGCTCGCATGCGGTAGCCGCGCTGATGATGTGAGAGGGGTGGAGCTTGGAGGTGGGGCATGAGTGAAGCAGAGAGGGTGGGGGAGTGGCGTGAAACCTGTTTTTCTTCAAATTTTCAGTCGAAGTCTGCTCTCTTCTCAATGTTACAGACTGCAGCTTTAAATAGATATGATTAGAAAACGTCAGGTAGCTTGGAATAGACAGCCATTAGAGTTTGAATAACTGAGCTGATTCCAGGTGGGGTTTTTTTGCTGGTTACTTTTTTCCAGCTGAATTTTTTGAAGCTGAATTTTTTTCCAGCTCATTTTTTCCAGCTCAATTTTTTGATGCTGAATTTTTTCCAGCTATTTTTTTTTTGCCGCTCATTTTTTTTTGCAGGGAATTTTTTTGCAGCTCAATTTATTCCAGCTCAATTTTTTGCAGCTGAATCTTTTTCCAGCTGAATTTTTTGCAGCTCATTTTTTTTGCAGGTTACTTTTTTGCAGCTCATTTTTTGAAGCTGAATTTTTTTCCAGCTCAATTTTTTTAAGCTGAATTTTTTCCAGCTATTTTTTTTTTGCAGGGAATTTTTTTGCAGCTCAATTTATTCCAGCTCATTTTTTTCCAGCTCAATTTTTTGATGCTGAAATTTTTCCAGCTATTTTTTTTTGCAGCTCATTTTTTGCAGCTCAATTTATTCCAGCTCAATTTTTTGCAGCTGAATCTTTTTCCAGCTCAATTTTTTGCAGCTAATTTTTTTTGCAGGTTACTTTTTTGCAGCTCATCTTTTAAGCTGGATCTTTTGCTAGTGAATTTTTTGCAACTGAATCTTTTTCCAGCTGAATCTTTTGCAGCTGCATTTTTTGCAGCTCATTTTTTTTGCAGGTGAATATTTTTGCAGGGGTTTTTTTTGCAGCTCAATTCTCACCAGATAAAAATTAATTGTAAGAAATTCAATGTGTAAAAAAAAAAAAAAAATCAGTTTTTAAAATTCAGTGTACAAAAGAGGCAGCTTCCAATGAGATTGTTTTTTTCTCCATATTTACCCAGCAGTTCTGGAAGCTGAAGCTCATTGCACTGTTTCTGTGTTCCACACAGGCTCCATCTCTCCCCTCGCCCTCGGCTAACGAACCAAAGTATGAGAAGCGCTGGCTGGACGCTGTCTGTTTGCCCTTGTTGATGGCCAGAGTCTCCAGATACAAAGCTGGCACCGATAAATTAAGGTAAGGCTAATCCACCATGATATGATTCACCTCTAAGGTGCACAGTTGGGGGAGCGCAGCTGTTGGCTTACCAGGCACTTTCATTTAGGTGAAAGAGCATTAATGCCAATATCTATGCAGGGACATAAACGGCTTAAAAGGTCAGAGCAGCTGCGGCTTACGAGGAGAGAGCGGCGGTCCGACCCGCAAAGACTTTTTGATTATGATGCCTGTCCTTTCTCATTGATTTTTCCTGTGAGCAGTAATTACACAGAAGCTTTTTCAATCTGGTTTCCATCATGTCCAAGCATTGGAACAAAAGATCCCTTAGAGCTGTGTGTTTGACATTGTTTAACATTTTCATCAGAGCTCCTGGTTTCCAAGTAGCCTTCTAAAAATAAGCCAAATCAAATGTATTTGGACCCAGAGTGTTCTGACCTCACTGCAGGTTGGCTTTTTCATTTCGCACTTCAACAATCTACTCCATTAAAGGAAAAGTCGCTCATATTCAGAATTCAAACTTCTGAAAGTTCTTTAAATGTGAAATTATTACATCCTGTTCAATAAAAGTGTTTTAATTCAGAGTAATTTTCATGTGAATGTGCTTTACTGGAGGCATCCATGTTTGTCAAAGAACACTACTGCCACCTACTGGTTAGTGACGTCACGGTGCGGTATCGGCTGTTGATCAAGTCCCAGTGCTGTATCTGGTGTTTGTCACAACGCGCTATTATCCAAGTCATCTTGAAAACATTCTTCTTCCAAATGTTGGCTACATATTACGGGTTTTTTCTCTGGCCAGAAGTTCGATGGCAAATCCTCCCTCTTCAAGTTGGCGATCCAACGACCAACCCGTCCGTGGAGGATCAGGAATCAGAAAGGTGGAATAACTCTTTTTTTTCTTTGTTTTTACCCGATATATGCCAACATCCAGCTGCCATGCATTTTGGGCCAAAATGGCCGCTACAAGACTCAGTGATCGCAATGAAAATTTTTTATTTTATTTTTTTACTGACTAACATTAAATTCATTAAATCACCACCAATGCATTAGTTCTGCTGGAGGTTTCTTCCTGTTCAGAGGGAGTTTTTCCTCTCCACTGTCGCTACAAGCATGCTTAGTGTGAGGGATTGGTGAAGAGTCAATGAGTCGATGCAATCAGCTGGTTTTCCTTAGATAGAAAACTTTAAATCAATCTGACTGGATGATCTGGTGAACTGGAAAGTGCCTTCAGATGGCAGGTGTATTCCAACATCCAGCTGCCATGCACGTGGGCATTGTCAGTTTCACTATAGCTCTGGTGAATTTCAATGGTGAAGTCCTCTGGAAATCTTCAATAATTGTTGTTGATTGCAGATGTGTCTAGTAGTTCCCATTGATTTAGCTTGGAAAGCGGGGAGAATGGCGCTAGGCTTACCGCACCGTGATGTCACTGCTGGAAGATGGCAGGAGGGAGGGGCTACTATATGTAACACCTGTTTTTATTTTTTTTTTACTGATTAACGCTAAATCCATTAAATCACTGTGAATGTATTAGTTTTAGGTATAAATAATGATCCATTGATTATTCCTTGCTGACGGGACTTTTCCTTTAAACTATGAAAAGATGCTTCAACTCAGGTGATACTGTCCTCACATTAGAGACAATAAACTGATTAAATTCTTGACTGAAAACAAGAACTGATTTACTTTGCTTTTGGAAATCTGAACACAAATCTCTCCAGAAACTGCTAGGATGGAGTTGCTGTTTCCTAATCGTGAATTAATGACATGGTTCTGCTCCGTAAACCTAATTAAAACCTTTATTCAGCTTGATTACTGGACGCAGCGCTTAGAGTTATCTAATTTTAAGCCTCAAGCGGTAGGCAGTGGAAAGTAAAGGGCCCATAAAGGAGCCCTAAGAAATGTAGCAGCAAGGATTTTAAACCCAAACCGGGGAAGAAGAAAAAAAACAGCAGAAGAGCCTCCTTGAATAAAAATGATGAAGTTCTCAGTAGATTTGTTAGCTTGTGTTTCTCTGCAAACTGCAAAACCTAAAACTCAGAGAGAAACAACGTGACTTCATAAAATGCTGCTCTAGTCATAAAATAAACAGGATTTAAAATGTTATTGGAAACTAGAGCTGGAAAAATGTTCTTCTTTTCCATTCATTACTTGTTGCCATAAAAAGCCAAATATTCTCACCTGCACCTTGCTTCTGTGTAAAGGAAAAGTTCGAAATAATCAATTGATATTTATCTATATCTAAAACTAATACGTTCACAGGGATTTAATGAATTTAGTGTTAATCAGTAAAAAACATAAAAACAATATTTTTCTGAGTCGGGGAGCGGCCATTTTTTGCCCAAATATAGTAACACCTCCCTCTAAACAGAAAGGAGTTGTCTGGTCTTCAGCAGGTTTAAAACTCGGCATTGAGGTCACTGACTCGTACAAACAGAACGGCTCATATTACGCCGATTTCAGGATTCTTCTTTAAAATCCTGGTTCTGACCTTTAGGGCCCTTCAGGGCTCCGTCCTACATTAGAGACTTGTTGCTTCCTTATAACCCCAATGGGAGGCTGAGGTCTCAGAACCAGAACCTGCTCATGGTCCCTCGTACTCGTTACAGGACCAGGGGAGATTGCTCCTCTCAGGCGGTGGCTCCGGCGCTCTGGAACGATCTTCCTCTGTCTTTCCACTTATTTGATTCTGTTGATGGTTTTAATAGCGAACTGAAAACTAAATTAGAAAGCATTTGAATTCTAGTAGAATAGGGTTGTTTTATGACCATGTCTTTTGTGACTACAAATGTATTTTTATTTGTATTTTAATTTTGTGAAGCATTTTGTGACCTCTGTCTGTGAAAGGTGCTACATAAATAAACATTACTTATTTACTAATACATCGGGTAAAAGTGAACAATTATTGAAGATTTCCAGAGGACTTCACCATTGAAATTCACCAGAGCTATAGTGAAACTGACAATGCCCACGTGCATGGCAGCTGGATGCTGGAATACATCGGGGAAAAGTGAAAAAAAGCACATTCACATGAAAATTACTCTGAATTAAAAACACTGATCATTTATTGAACAGGATGGAATCATTTCAGATTTAAAGAACTTTCAGAAGTTTGAATTCTGAATATAACCAGACTTTTTCTATTAACATTGGAATCAGTTTTTCTCCATAGAAGAATCCTGTAAACATTTCCTTTTTTCGACATTGAAGTTTTTTAGGACGCTCATGTTTTTTGATTTTTATATTGAAATGTTTAAGTATTGGATGTTAATTTGCTCCTTGAACGAGTCTTCGGCGGTTGAAGCGGCATCACGCTGACAGCCGAGAGGCAGACGACTCGCTTTCCTGCAGTCTGACAGGAAGTTATTCTCTGCCTTTCATTCCATCGGTCGAGGTGGATTTATGTGAAGGAAGGAGAAACATTGCAGCTCTACCAGGTCTTATCTGCAACCAGGTGTACATCTGGCTCCTTCCAAGCTTCATCCACCAACTTCCTGCCCCTTCATCTGGATTAGATACAAGAAAAATAAAACAGCAAATGATTCAGACAGAATAGAAGCTTTTTTATTGATACCACTTCACAATAAGAAAGTCTCACGGGTCCTTCACCATCCCCAAAATTTTATTAAATCTGAAACAACAAAGTTTAAACCATTAAAAGTTTTATGAAAACACCTTTAAAAAGACAGCCATCCTTGAAAGTCATTTTTTATTTGGATTTGAATTTCACACATATGGCGACTGCTGTCAAAAAGTCTTGAAAAAGCCATCATTAGAGCAAAGTCTGCTCTGATGCATGCTGAGTAAAGAGGGAGGGGCGAGAACAGCATCTGAGGACTTTTCAGGCTGATTACGTTTCACGAGCTCATGAGAACGCACAAGGCTTTAACTTGTGCTCTGGACTTAGCATGGACAAAGGCAAGGAAAACCCATCTTAAACTGGGATATTTTCAGAAAATTGAGAAATAAAGGTACCTCTCAAACAAAAAAATCAAAGTCCGAATTCTTCTTATAACCACAACTGAAAGTCTCAATGACCCTAAAAAGTTTTGGAAAACAATTAAAACTTTGGCTGTTGAAAATAACTCACAGACTTTGCCAAATTCTATTGTTCGTAACTCAACAAATATCTATGATAAAGTCGAAATGTTAAATTGTTTTAATCAACACTTTATATCCTCCAAACCCTAATGAAGTTGGGAAGTTGGAACTGGAAGTTGAAGGATTTGATTCCAATCGGACATTTTTAACGATTGCTCAAAGGTTTGGAAATGAGATCTATGGTTTGTAACTGTTTTATGAATTTCTAATTATAGATAGATAGAATTGTAAACTGTAATGTAATCTTTTGCCGCTGTCTTGGCCAGGACTCCCTTGAAAAAGAGATTGTTAATCTCAACGGGAATTTTCCTGGTTAAAGAAAGGAATAAAAAAAATAAAAAAAACTTTGTGATGACAGTGGGTGGGGGCTCTCTAAGGGTGGGGGCTGATGGACCTACAGATACTCCACCCGAATGCTTTCATTAGGTTTTTGTATTTTCCAAAAATGATCTCAAACAACTATTTATTGAATGCTTTCCTATTATTGAGAACACAAGAGAACCACGGTACACTGATATTTATATTTATAGAGAGATGCCTTTTAGTGCATTATTTATATAAGGCCCAAAAACAATAATGTATAAAAAAAATAACAAATAACAGCCAATTCCGATGCCAAAATCTATATATCAAGCATCCCTAGAAGTACAATTTCAATGAAAAAATAATAATTAAAAAAATAGGGATTTGCTGCATTTTAAATATATCATAGCATCTTTTTTTCTTGTAAACTTGGAGATATATTTTATTGCATGTTGCATATCCCAATAAATCTGTTTTACCTTTATTTTATATATACACTGCTCAAAAGAATGAAAGGAACACTTTGAAAACACATCAGATCTCAATGGGGAAAAAATCATGTTGTTTATATCTACTGATATGGACTGGCTGATGTGTTAGGAACAAAAGGGATG